CTTGACAGTTTTCATACAGAAGACAGAAGAAATCTGCTGCCAGTAAAATAAATGTAAATGTACAAAACTAATTAAAAATGTCTATCTATCTATCTATCTATCTATCTATCTATCTATCTATCTATCTATCTATCTATCTATCTATCTATCTATCTATCTATCTATATATTTTTTTTACTTCAGTAAAACCTTTACACCATTTATCTATATCCAAGGCTAATATTTACGCCAAATAAAAACTTGGTTTTTGATAAACAAAAATGTTTTAATATTGAAATCATAAAAGCATGCTGCTAGTAATTATGCTTCATCTTCACATAGAAGGTATTTATTCAATTATATTTGGAATACTGCAGACATATAATGTGTGCATAGTTTTATTTACTCTTACTGTGAACAAATATTTTGGATTCTTTTAAATTATTAAACATCACTGCCCAAATTTTTTTGAAACACTCGACTCATCTGTTTCTCTCCTTATTTTGTATGACTAGACATTTGGCAAAACTAAGCTAAACTTAAGAAAAAAGACATTAACTGGGTTAAGGAGATATCTAAGAATGAGGCTGACAGAAACTGACTCCTACTTGACGCTTTTTGCAGATATTTCCTAGTCCAATTCTATTTAAAACCTCAAAAGATCATATTATTAAATTAAAATGTAGATTCTGACACATAGATACAAATTAGGGATGTCTTTCCATTTCCTATTACCAGTCGGGGCAATATACCAATACAGCAATACGGATACCAATAATGTATTTTTTTTTTTGTACAATCAACATAGACCAAATTTACAAATCATTGTTTGTTTCATTACCGATTGTGGAGTGTGGAATGTAAAAAAAAAAAATAGCTTGATCATGTGATCTTACTCAAGCAGAGCGCAGCAGTGAACAATAACTGGTATAAAAACAGTATTATTAACCAAGGATTCCATAAACTGTAATCATCAGTGGATGGGAACTGTGTGTTTCTATTGGCATAATTAGATCAGAGATCTTCTGTGCTGGCTTATGTGTTCAGATATTTGTTTTTGTGGCTGATATTAATATCTATCAGAACATGACCTGGAGAGAGTGCTGATAAGAGAAATGCAAATATTATGCGAAGGAGAAAATAGCTACTGCATGAACTTTGTTCAATGTTAAAGGTAACTTACCCAGAATGGTCAGTATGCAAAGAAGTATTGCTATCAGGGCATGGACACTGACTCCCATCCTCAGTTTACTGGCCTTGCACTTTGAATAAACTCGATTAGCATCACACTGGCATGACTGCAACAAAGAAACCAGGAAACATTCAGTTAATTCGGTTAAAATTGAAACGTTTGACTAAAGAAAATGTTTAAACAACACATTTTCCAATCAAAAGCATAGACAGACCTTTATCTGCACTTTGGTGACGCTGCTCAACGGAGGCAGACCTCCGTCACTGACGCTCACCTCCACACTGTAATCACTGGAGTCCTCCAGGTTGAAAGGTCCTTTTTTCACCAGTAAATTGGATGTGCCGTCTGCAAAATAAGTAATGAACAGAGTAAGAAAACGTAACACTTGCTTGTTCTCTCCTTTGCAAAATATTTCAAATTTGTTTTATAACTTAATTTTTTTCTTTGCTGGTTTTCTACACATGACTCAGTTAAATGAATAATGCAGTTTGTATTCTGGGCAGAACAGGGTTGGAAAGAAAAAACAGCGCTATAAAAAGTCATGACTTGGAGCAGGTAGAATGGGGTGTGTTTTCTACAAGCAGGAGTCACAATAGAGTCATTAGTCAAGTTGCTTGAAGACAGAAGTTTCCTCCTGAGCCAATAAGGAGATGCCTCCACAATATACCACCATTATAGGAATTTCAGGGAACACAATGGCAGGAAAGAACCCTTAAACTCTCCATTTAGATTCAGCCGCTGCGCTTTAAGGGCAAGTTTAAATCAAAGCTAGACACGGTGCAGTTACTAGTGAGGGTGGCAACCGACTGGTTAGAGCTGTTATTCTGAAAACGGCTGCAAATACAGAATCAACCCCTGCAGACCCTCACTCTTGGAAAGATCCTTGGCTGCAAACTTGCCCAATACTCCTCAACAAAAAGCTTAAATGCAGAAAATCAATTCTGCTTTAAAGTATACTTGCAACAAGATTATTAATCCTTATGAAGGTCTACCAAATTAAAGCAATGTTGTGGTTCTTTGAGTCCCAGGCGTGCTAAATTTGTAACCTTTAGGTTCAGCAACCCTAAAGGGAACTGGCAACATGGCACTTCCGATAAATTAAACAGTTTCCCTCCAGCAGATCGGGAAGTCATGGAGTTCCATGTAAAGACAAGACACATTAACACTTAATTTTCTTTAACCAGTAGAATAAAAGATTAGAACAGTGTCTATCAGCCCTTCATCCCACTCTCTGCTGTCGCCACTTTGTCGCTCTCTGTGTGATGTTCTTTCTTAATCCCATCTCTGTGGATTTTGGGATATTCCTCACTGCCCTCTGGAGATTTATTTGGCTCTAACTCATTACGCTGCTTTTCTTTTTTCCTTGTTTGTCCCTCTTACCCTGCCTCTCTGGTATTAATGTGGCAAGCTTCATGTAGCTGCCTGCACACAAAACACAGTTGTGTCATTTCACCGTGCAGCTACATTGCCTCTTTCTGGTACTGAAGATTGTTTTTCCTTTTTTTTTTTTTACCAGTTTTAAAGAGGTGGAAGCTGATAAATAATTTACAAGCTTTCACTTTGCAGGTCTTGCTGTGTCTGGGTGTGTGTTCTAATCAGTTTGTGTGTCGCATTGCATTGCAAAGACAGATGTTTTTTTTGTTTTTTTAAGAAGTGTATAGTCCAGCAATTCACACTGACAGGCAACAGTTATAAGTTAACTATCCGCTTCTTTTCTGCGTCTTTTTTCATTTCTTTGTTGTACCTTTCATCTTTTTCCACCTCTCTCTTCAACAGTTGACATTTTGATTTGATTCCCTTTTCATGCACTCTTTGCCTTGGAGCCATTTCTTCTTTCATGTCGTTACTTCTTTATTCTTCTCATCCAAGCCCTCACACCCACGTTCCAATTTATTCCTTCATTTGTACTTTGTTTTTCCCTTTTCAGATCCAGCATAACACTCTGTTGCTTATTTTCCATTAGAATTACTTTTTTTAAATTCACAGTTTTTTCTGTTTTTTTAAGGAACCATAAGAAATGATTTCATCCTAATCTTCCTTTTCGAGCTTGGATGTTTATCCTTCTTTCAATTCTTTTTTCACTCACACTTCCTCTCATCTACACCTCTCTCTGTTCTCCTTTCATCCGTCCCCCTCCCCACCTTTGCCTCACATGTCTATCCTTTTCCTTCGTCTCCCTCTTCCTCCATCACTGCTACATGTCAACTCCTCCAGGCAATTGATGAGTGGAAATGGATGAGGGTTGTTTATTCCCTTTTTTCTCTGTTTTTCTTGCTTTTAGAACAGATCAAGTTTCACTAAAATTAAATATTAACACTTTGCTTGAATCTTTCATAGAAAAAACAGAGGCTTTGAGCATTTGGCAACTCTTTTCTAGAGACATTGTCTCTTCACAAAATCTAATTAACAATAATAAGAATTTGTAGAAGCATTTATATCTATTAACTTTTTTTATAGTCTTTTTAATCATATCAATGAAAAAAGCATGTATTTTTTTATTCTATGAGCTAAACTAACATTAATGAGTGCAACATTTTAGAAAAAAAAAAATATGCCATTGTACAAAATATTTTTTTGATATCAGCTGTAAGCATTTCTGTTAAAAATAAATACATCAAAAGCAACTAAATACTTTCCAATGTCCTAATTAAACACACAGGTCAATTAACAACAAGGATCTTTGCAGATATGTTGTAGATACGCTTACTTTAAGCAGATTAGGATTAACAAGCAGGATTGCATGGTTTGAACAACTAATTTACATGATTTTGTTCGTAAAAAGACAAAAAATAGAAATCTATGTAAGTCATTTTTTTTATTTAATTTTTTTTTTAATTAAGCAGGTTATTTACACTTTCACAATGAAAAAAAATGTATATTTACATTTAAAATAAGAACATTTTATATTGTCTTTGCACTGCATTGTCTTATTTCAAGAGCATAATATCTAATTATATTTTATTAAGAGTAAAAAAAAAAACTAATTCCATTGGCAGATCATCTTATTTATCTACTCAATTAAGGGCAAATACATTTATCTTAAGATTTTGCAGTGAGGATTTGAGACTAGAGCAAAGTTCAGATTTTCCACAGGAAAATGACTCCACATAGTAATGGGGTGGTTTAGATTGAAGCTTTTTAATGTCACCATGCTTAGTTAAAGTTTTAATAAATTCCACCTCATTTTAAGTAATCTTGCCATTTTGCATATCCAAATGGAAAAGAAAATAACTAAGAAACTGTAAGGAAAAAAAAATACATACATGTTTTGATAGCTAACACGTTCTAGTTTCAGAAAATACCCTTACAGCCTAAACTGCATTATTTCAAACATTTTTTTGTTTCTTTGCACATAACGCAACAATTTGACCCAGAAAAAAAATCACATGAAGCATTTTAATAGCCTCAAAACATTTCTGAAGCAAATATTTTTAAATGTTGATAATATTTGAATCCAATTATCTAACAGTGTGTAATGATCAAGTCTTTTTCAAAGTAACCAATAATAGCTTTGTTTGAAAGCTAATTTAATCGGCTACAAAGCCAAACATTCAAACTATCTCAACCAATTGCAGCCGCAGATTATGAGACTGATAGGGAGCGCTCGTTATATTTCGAGATTTCTGTCAAATCCAAACAGAAATCGATGTGGACACCTTTGTTTTGTAGGCTGGAAAGTGATGAAAACAAACCTTTAACCGAAGCTAGGGTAACTAGCAAGACAGCTTATGAACTTTTAGGATGGCTAAAAATGGAATTTATGTCGCCATTTTCTAAGCATGGGATTTTTTTAATGAAACATATGATGCCTTAGGATCTCTTCAAAGGGGGGAACCAGAAGCTTTTTTTATTATTATTATTCTGATTCAACATGCTGCTATATCTTTATTAATTGTGCTTTAGTGCTCATGGTGTCCATAAACTGAATTTGAATTGAGAATCTAAGTTTTCTAAGGATAACATTTATCATTATTGGTAAAAGTTTAACCAATGTTATTTACATGTGTACTGTTGTGTTTAATGGAAATACACCCTATGGGTTGCCGGTGTCATAGATTAACTGGTGGCGGGACTAACTGGTTATGCCAGCTGGAAACCGTTGATATCTCTTATAGACAGGTGGCTGCATTGATGCCTGCCTAAAAATAATCTAATGTAACAAACCTGTTGCCACAAATCTAAGTTCACAGATCTATTGTTCACTGAAAAAGATTGTGTTTGAGTCACCAATGATTCCAAAACAGCAACAGCAGCTTGTGGTTTTCATGTTGGGAATATGACCAGAACGAGATCAACTCGTGACACAGAAATCAAAGTCAATTGGCATTACATGGAAATGTCTTTTTCTGCAAAGTTCAATAAACCATTTCTTTGGGTATGAAAATAGTATCTGCTTTTGACTGGCATCTTTGAGGAACAACAAATTAATTTAACAACGAAGGAAACTTATCCAACTCATTTCCATACTCTGTAAATCAGTCTAACATCGGTCTAACATGGTCTGTCACCAGATCCCAAATCTGGGTGCTACTGTTTGGGTATCCCACACCACGGTGGTTTGATATCTAAGCAGAAAGGTCAAGAAATGTGTCAAACTGTACTCTTAAAAACAACATCATAAAGGTTGAGAAGTATAGCTTCTCCAATAGGGAACCAACTGTTAATGCAGCCCGTTGAACAAAAGGCAGATATGAAATTGGGAAACAATCTAATAGATTAACTTTTGACAAACTGGGTCCACAACACAGCTGCTTGGAGAGATTAGCTTGCTGCATGGTTTCCCGATCAAAACACTGTAAACGTAAAACAAACGGGTCAGAAGAAATTATATAATTTCCAGCCTAACAACTGACCATCACGTGTAATATGTGTGTGAAGAACATGATATTTTGTAGGAAACTGAGGTTTGGGGTTTAAAAAAATGCATCATAAATAAAGGATTTTATAGTCCTTATAGATTAAGTTGTGATCCACCTGCAGGGGTACACACATCAAAATGTTGGGAAACACTGCTCTAGACATTCAGACACTCATCTAAAATGGTGTAATCAATACATAGTGCCTTATATAGGGTGGACGTTCGGACGGAGCCGTTGATTGTTTGTAAATAGTTGGTCTGGAGCTTTTTTAAAGCTTGAGCGAAGCAAGATAAGTATATTGGATTGATTTGGGTTCAGTTATTCTTACATTTAAATTCTCATGGAGAATTTCATATATATATATATTTTTTTTTTGCACTGAACCTAATAAGTACATAACAAATAAATGTTTTAATCATAAATTAATTAAAATAATAATAATAAAAAATTAAGGAAAGATAAATGACAAAAAGTACCCCAGAGCCACTCAGTAACAACTAATCAACACTAAACAATGGGCCTCAAATAGTTTTTCTTGTTGCCTAGCAACAAGGTAAGGGCCCCTCTGCAGGTCCTCTTTTCCTTCTAATGAATCCACAGGTAAGGAAAGAAGAAAGCAAGTCCATTATTATGAGAGGAGGAAAACTCACCTCCGTTGTCTTTGAGGGAGAAGTTGGAGTTTGGAAGTAGACTGTAAGTGAAGGTAGCTTGTTGATCATCCTTGTCTAAGGCTTCCAATCTACCAATTACCTGAGAAGGGACATTACTATTAATGAAAGAACCATATTGGAGCAGCTTTAGACACAAGAGTGGATAAGGTAGCATATATTTTAATGTGCTAAAAATTATACCTCAGTTTAACATTTTATGTCAAAAAACAATACTTCCAAAAGAGTAGAAATGAAACATGTTAAGGTTTGATGATAAGTCATCTAGATTTGAATGTTTTTGCAAACCTCAAATTAAAGCATTGAAAAAAGCTGTTTAAAATATGCTTTTCTTACTGTGTTTGTGACGTCATTCTCACACACGTAGATGTCATCCACAATCAGTTCAGGCGGGTTATCGTTAATGTCCAGAACATTTATGGTAATGTTCACCAGTGACTGCAAATCTATAGAGGAGAGACAATTTATGACTCTGTTAGATGAGGTATTTACAGCTGTAAGCCTGCAAACTAAGATTATCAAAATATGTGAATAGAGGGCTTTTAGATGTGCTATAAAAAATATGTGTTGGAGATGGCATATTCACATTGAGACAAGAACAGACTAGCCCTACAGGGTTTAACAAGGCTGAGAGCACGACAGTTTCCCATATTATTCTGATATGATAAAGCATTAAGAGGTACAAATTTAAGTTATCAGGCTCCTCTTCTGTTGAACCAACTAACTCTTTTAGTCTGTGAGGCAGACTCCTTTTCTACTTTTATGACTAAGCTTAAAACTTTCATAAAAAATGCTTATAGTTAGAGTTGCTAAGGTTCTCCTGAGCTATTTCTTTAGTTATGCTGCTATAGGGTTAAGCTGCTGGAGGTCATAGGGACCAGTTTTCATCCTTCTGTTTAATTCTTACAATTCTCCAATCCTGCATACTTTTTTGTTTAACACCTGACTTTATATTTTCTCTGCTTTTTCTTGTCATTGTGGGTTCGTCTGGTCTTACGCTCAACAAAATCTTAGAAGTAGTCATCAGCAGGGCTGATCAATCAACTTGCATTACAGAATGTGAAGTTGGGCCTATTTTCAGTTCTTAGTCCTGTTCCTCTTCTACAAATAGCTATAGGTTCACCTTTTAATATGGTTAACTGTTGGTGCTCTTTTTCAGCCTTTTGAAATGCAAAACAGGCTAGCTAGCGTCTGCTTCTGTCTCCTTGAACCCAAACTTGTCCTAGGCAAAAGGCCTCTCATACTGAGCCTGGTTCTGCTGGAGGTTTCTTCCTGTTGTCCACTGTCACTGTATGCATGCTTGATTTGAGGGTGATCAGTAGAGTCAAGGACACAATGCAAGCAAACGTCTGCTTTTGCCACATGCTCGTCTTAAAGCAGCGTATCATGCAAAAACAATGACTGAATGCAATCAGCTGACTTTTCTTAGATAGAAATTTGGATGATTAAACTGAATTGTCCCTGTAAATTGCATCTTTTGACTTCATTTCCTGCTGCCATAGTAGCAACTAGAGATGCCCAATTAAGTGTTTGGATTGATTGGTGAGAACATTTTGCATTAATGTGTGTGTTGTCAATCAAAAAGTGACCTCTGCTCAAACCTGATGAGGGTGCTAGATAGGACAGGGATATAAAAAAAAACTTATCAGAGCACACCTTGACTCTAACCTTTCTATTCACCACATAAATAACTAGAGCTTATTATCCAACTTTGGAGCACCATTCCCTGCAGAAAAAAAAAATCTCGTAAGATTTTCCAGAGCAATGTTATATTAATACCCACAAAATATCATCTTTCTTATTTTTCTCAAGGATAAAATAGGGATAAATCATATAATTAGACATGTATTGCGATACATATCGTATCGCCAGTTCTTTGAAGTTCACACCCGTAGTGTCTATAATCTACAGAAATGGGGTAAAAATTATCAGGGTGTAAAAGGAAAAAAAATCTATATTCTAGAACTTTTAAGTCAGAGAAAAGTAGAGAGAATAGCTTAACATGTTAGTAATGTTGGTCACTTTATGCAAAAAACCTTACCTCCTTCAAAGGAACGAGGTCAAAGCTTTGGCAGATGGGCTCTCAGACAAATTGACTACACCTAAAACCGTACCCTCACCCTTATTTCTCATTAAACTTCTTAAAGTGCCTAATCTACAGGGTGTTTTACAATATTGAAAACTCACCTAAAAAATTAATTGTCACTTAGACAGCCTATGAAGTTTTTGCCAAGTTCCCTAATCTATTTGAAGATTTTCTGCTCATACATATTTGATTTTCTCTTGGGGCTCAGACTCCTGATCACACAGCACGTATTTATTATGTACTTTAATGGACAGTTCTGGCAGTGATTAGCAATGATTATAATTAGCTATGAGTAATTTGCGTCACTGACGGAAGGTCAAGTGACATAAAGTTTTCTATTTGTGAGCTCTGTGTTTGACAGGTATTTTAATTTGTTTGTGTTGTTCGCATTAAAGCATCTTCTACGTGCATCTTTTGAAATCCTCTCTTTTGATGGGTTTTTTTCTGTGTCTTCCACTGATATTTCAAAAATATCTTAAGCACAGAACAAGTGGTATATATGAGGACCTTGTGGAGCTCAGGGGAGCGTTGTGCTCCCTAAACGTTGTGACAAGCAGCTAAAATAGATCTCTGGATTTCATTCATTGCTTGTCTAAAAATATAGGCTTGGGCTTGAAAGCTGCAAGTGGAACAAAAGGACTCGCTAATGTGATTTTTCTGCTTAGTCGCTGTTTCCAGAGCAGGTGTTACAGCAAATGTGTTCAATTTATAAAAAAAAAAAAAAAAAAATCCTGCTAATGTTTTAGACTCTCAGACTTTAACTGAACAGAACAAAATACCAGAACAAACTGTCCTGTTTGGTCCTTCTTCTTTTACAACATCAGATAACCATTGTTTAAAAAAGAAAAACACATGGTTTCCATCTCTTTTAGTGAATATCTATTGTTCCAGAGCAACAGCATTAATAAAGCCAAGCAGTGTTGATGTGGGTGTGTGACATACCGCTGTTCTGTTCCTGCGCTTTAACTGCAAACGTGTGTTCTTTCTTCGTCTCTCTGTCCAGCTTTCTCAGAAGGGATAACTCACCGCTGAATGGGTGGATGCTGAAGGGTAAGCCTGTCTCTGGAATGGAGTACCTAAACAATGAGGGAGAGAGATCAGCCAAACAATCAGGCTGCACAGCTGGACGACAGCTGGAGTCCTATTAGTTATGTTAGGGAGTGTGTAGAACCATACTCTATGCGCTTGTTGGCTCTGTCGGGGTCTCTGGCCTGGATTTTTCCTAATAATGTGCTCTCTAGCTGCTCCTCGTAGACACTGAAGCTATAGTTGTAAGAGTTAAAAATCGGCGGCTCGTCGACATCCATCACCCTGATGGTAACCTGGAGGAGATTCGTTGTAACAGTTAAAAAAAACTGAGCTGACTTACATCAAGGATTCAAATAATTTGTTTAAGGTTCACATAGTCTGCGGTTATAAAGCTACTTTCCTACTTGTTGATGATCATATATTTTGGGGTTCGACAAATTTGCAGTGTAAAAAGTCCCCACTTTAGGCTCTCATATGTATTAAACTGCTGCTAAATTTGGGTTTGCCTTTTGTTTTGCATTAGATATATATACCTAACATTGGAGGCCTCTTTGCTCTCTTTTGGCATCTGAACTGGACACTTAAACTCAAACCTGTCATGACTCTGCACTTTTTGGTTCTGTTTAAATTTTCTTTTTTAATTTTCAGTTATACTTTTTTTTCTTGTCTTGTGTTTTCTAGTTTATTGGGTTCTTTTCCTTTTTTATTCTAGTTGTTTTTGGTCATATTTTCGAGTGCTTTTGTATATCTTGAGTCTTTGGCTTCCTTCTAGACACTTCCATCCACACCTGCTCCCAATCTGCTCATTACTCCAGTCTTTGTTCTGTCACTCATTTATACTCTCCCTCTGCAGCTCCTCAGTGCTGGGTCCTTGTTGTTGTTCTTGCTTTTTCCTCATCTCTGGCTCCCCATGTGAGTTTTCCCCTGAAGTTTTCTGGTTTTTTGGTTCCTTGTATTTTTGTTCTTTGGATTTTTGCCTCAGTAAACTTATAAAATCTTCAAGACTCACCTCTGCCTCCTGATCTCTGCATTTGGGTCCTCAAAACCCTCCACCCAATTGTGACCAAACCATAAGATATATTTTTTAGTATATATATATATATATATATTTTTTTTTTTTTTACTAGAGTTGTCATTGAACATTCTGACAAAATACAAAATATCAGCATCCATTTTGAATGAGCTACTTTAGATATATTATTTGAATCATTTGTGATATATTAAGAATCGTTGTACAATTTATTATTAATCACTACTGTATAATTCAAGTTTATCAAGAATAAAAAAAATCACAGTGATGATGATGAACTGTATTTAATTCAAAATTAAAATCAAACTTTTTTCAACTTTTATGATTTTTTTTTTTGCTTATTCGACAAAATATTTAGTAACAACATTGTGGGTTTTTAAATATTGTGAGTTTTCTGACAAAAAGAAAGTGAAAATGTCAATTTTTAATGTTTTTATGTTGGTCATTAAAAAGAAGGCAAACAAGTATTTATTTTAACTAAAACTCTAGTTTTGATTTTGTAAATCCAATAAATTGTTGGGATTAAAATGCTCAGAAAATAAAAATATGATTTTAACCTTTTAGATAAATAAAAAAAAAAAAAAAATTTTCGTTCTTCCCTTTTTCATATGGAGGAACCACAAACATTACTGCACTGTGCAAAAATCGCTTTATGTTTTAGTTTTTAAATAACTATTGATCAAATGATTTAATAAAAAAAGAAAAAGTCTGGTCGGGCTGGAAAGAAACATAAAAGAAATTTAGAGTCGTTTAGGACTTTTTACAGTACTGTCTACATCTAAGTGCATTTAAGGGATTGTTGCTGCTCTACATTGTGCTCTTTTCATTGTGCTCTACAATGTTCTCTAACAGATGGGTGTTTATGTTACAGCCTCAATGAATGTTAGCTCAACCTAAGATTTCATCTAAAAACAACAATTTAATACCACAACTCTTTGTGACAGATCGTGAAGGAATTACCTGTGCTGATGTGATTGCTTCGTTAATATTGTCTGCGGGAAGGGAGTGCAGCACTTCCTCCAACTTCACAGTAAAAGTGTAGCTAGTCCGTGTTTCATAGTCTAAAGCCTGGGGAGAGAAAGCAGAAATAGAGAATTAAATGACTGCTATATTAAGCCTTGTGACATCATGCAACTTGATTTGAAGCGAAAGTGCTCTAAAGTTGAATTAGTCCTCCAGAGAGTATGCAAAAACAAGTGGTTTCTTGTTTTGCTGGAGTAGGAACACATTTGCACCTTAGTGCTAAATGCATGTCTTATGTTTGCACTGAGTGAACTTGCACCTCCATTCACTCGAACAAGAACAGACGTCAATTCCAGGTGTGAAAAGGGTGTAAATGTAAGACAACCCAGGAGACTCATTTTTGCCAAGTGGATCTTCTGGAGTTTTGAAACTGCTGCTGAAGCTTTTGCCAAATGCAGACAGAAAAAAAAAAAAAATTCCTACAAGTGTATCTGATTGTGAACAGCGATAAATCTAATATTCCAGTGAATTCCTCTAGAATCAGATAGAAGCCAGTTGGAGCTAACATGAACGGCAAGCACATGTTTCCTCATCAATTTCACTAAATCTATTTTTAGGGAGTTTTTTTTTTTTTATTTATGAGATATTTTCTTTAACAGTGATGTCATTCATGGAAAACCATCAATCAGTTCTCTTATCCAGTCTCGCTGGTCCTCAGCAGGTCATAGAGGGGTGTATTTTACACCAGATGTTTGAGCCTACAGCTGGTAAGCTGTTGCTCACTCAAGTAGGCTATAACTAGTAAATTCATTAGCTTTATATATATATTATATATAGCATTAGAGGAGTTATATATAGCATTAGAGGAGTTAACATTTAATGTTAAGGTGGGTTAAAAGACAGTTACTATTTATGTAATTAAACTACAGGGGCAGGTGTATCATCAATTGTCAAAACAAATATCTCAAGTGGAGACTGCAGGGATGTTAAAGGGCTATAGCCTATTTCGGGCAAGAATGCTAACTGTGCTAACGATAATCACTCTGCTCAAATGCAACTGTTCTGGACTTCTGCACTATAAACTAATGTAAAATAATAAAGCCTTAAATGACCAAGCTCCATCTGATATCAGAGATCTGATTGTTCCTTATGTTCCTAACAGAGCACTTCGCTCTCAATCTGCAGGTTTACTAGTGGTTCCTAGAATTTCTAAAAGTAGAATGGGAGGCAGATCTTTTAGTTATCAGGCTCCTCTCCTGTGGAACCAGCTACCAGTTTTAGTCCGTGAGGCAGACACCCTGTCTACTTTTAAGGCTAGGCTTAAAACTTTCCTTTTTGATAAAGCTTATAGTTAGAGTGGCTCAGGTTATCCTGAGCTATCTCTATAGTTATGCTGCTATAGGCTTAGACTTCTGGAGGACATAGGGACCCCTATTTCATCATTCTATCTCTATTCTCCCACCCAGCAGAATCTGTTAGTTAAATCTCTAATCTGCTCTCTCTGCTTTTTCTCATAGTAGCTTCATCTGGTCTGTTCCTGTTGGCTGTGACTCCATCCTGAAGAGATATATCACCTGTGCTGCTGCCATCAACACCTTTGTTTATGGATGTTGGAGATCAGCCTGTTTTTCAGTGTAGTCCTGTTTCTTTGACTGTGACTGGCTGGATGTGCTCTCCTTCATCCTCTGGCATGGGAGCTGGCTTGGAGCTCTTATGCCTGGCTGTGTGTTTCCTGGACGGGGCTGCCTTTTACAGTTGCCTTTTGTATATCTGCTTCTGTCTCCTTGAAACAGTCGGCCTCGGCAAATGGCCACTCGCACTGAGCCTGGTTCTGCTTGAGGTTTCTTCCATGTTAAAAGGGAGATTTTCCTCTCCACTGTCGCCTCAAGCATGCTTAGTGTGAGGGATTGCATTTGAGTCAATGAGTCGATGCAATCAGCTGGTTTTCCTTAGATACAAAACTTTGAATCAATTTGACTGGATGATCTGGGGAACTGTAAAGTGCCTTGAGATGACGTGTGTTGTGAATTGGTGCTATACAAATAAACTAAATTGAATTAATGTGATTAATGTGTCAAAGCATCACAATAACTTTAGAATTACACATACAAATTGTAAAAGTCAATAAAATTGAATATCAACTAGAAAATCTCAGCATTGTAACCAATAGTCCTTATGCTTAGAACGACAAATAGAGAAAAATAAGAAAATAGATTTGTTGAAGTATAATCATTCTGAATTTAAGACATCTGTATCAGCTGGTTTATAAATTAAAACAAAATACCGAAGCATCTCCGTTTTCTATATGAATTTTAATTCAGGTTCAGCATATGCTTTTTAGCTGTGGTCAACTTCAGGCTTCAGAAACTGCTCCATTTCATCAGAGCATCTACTTTAAATCCTTCCCTGGTTTGTTGAAAGACACAGCTTGACTTCAAAGAGACCCTTTGGCACATAAGATTAGAAACATGCACTTTCTCACTTCCTAAAATGAAAATTGTCAACTCAATATTAAAGGCAACTTTTTATTACCAACTTAAACCTCAGAAAAATTTTGTTTTTAATTATTTTACAGTTTCTCACAAGTCTTGAAACTAAAAGATAAAAAGCTGCACCTTTATGATCATATTCCTAATCAAACTAACTTTACTTTTCTCTGTTATAGTTTTTACATTTATTTCAACTCTGTGGTTAAAAGCAATTTATGTCTACTGCATTGCAAAGAACGCTTTTCATCTTTGGATGGGACAACACAGGTAGACAGGAATATTCTGTTAACAGGATTATTCACAGTAACAAGGATGCTCAGTCGCAGGGTATCAAAGGCATTAGTAAACAGCTTAGCACGAATGAAGCCGTCGCGGCAGTGTGGACGATAGCTGGGCTTATTTTGTAAACACAGACGGTGAGGAAGATGAGAGCGGCTGCAGAGCTGAAGGGCGAGTAGAGCAGAGAAAAGATCGGGGTGTGATTTGGTTCCAGGCCAGCATGGCAGCCAGTTATTACCCAGCTTATTTTATAAGAATACATTTTTAACTCTCTGAAGTCCTAAATGCTTTATCTTGACAAGTAAACCTCCTAAAATCCCTGCTAGCATAAATATCTTCCCAAACCAGAAGGAGGCGGTTCCAACACACTGTTGTATTTTACTGTCATCCTGTAAAAAAAACATCTCACATTTTTGGCTGCAGGTTTGCATTTTACACTTTAGTTATGTTGCGGTGGATGCAAAAAAGCATGATAAAAAAAATAAACACAATAGGAATGTCAGTATATTTCTGTGTGAGAATTTATGGAAATCCTGTCAGAGCACTGCTGCTATCATCCTGCTGCTCCTCTCTTGCCTGTTTGTAATGTTTGTGATACCAGAATGTATTTTTAACTCTCGGATTTTTTCATGTTTGCGCAAGAGCTTTCCATCAGTTCCTGGAGCTGGAACATTTGAAAATGAGGTTTTAACACATTCCGAGGGGTTTTTGCATTATTTGGGGAGTAAATTTAGATGAAATCCATTCATCTCTACAACGTATTCTCAGTCGCTGTGTCTTCAGGAAACCAGACAATATTTAGGTTTCTTTTTCTTCTTCAAAGTGAATATCCTGCCTAAATTTGTATTCCTAAAATGGAAACAGGAGATATATTTCCTTAAATGATTGGGAGTATAACCAGCTGTGTTTGAATTGTGCAGTTTAGTGCTTTAGGAAATTTGGGTAAACTTCAGCAGCAGCAGAAGGACAAACACTGAGCAATTAGCAGGAAACAAAATGCAATATCTCAGAACTTAGAGAAATTTTCCAGAGTTGTCATTGTGGGAGGAGTTAAAAAATAAGGAAGACTGAGATGTAATAATTTTAGTGTTGAGGAGAAAAATAAAGAAGAAAAAGCATGAGGGAACAGTTTTCTATTTGCTTCCATTTTAGCTGGCAATTTTAAACAACTACCCTCATTTAAATAAATAGCAGGAAGACTTAAAAGAAAGTGTTACTCTGCTTCTTCATACCTACAGTCTATCCATAACAACTTGGTCTAGTCATGTAAGCAGGCCCCTAATGAAAAAGAGTTAAGATTAGGCTCTAATTTCTGTAGGGCATACACACATATGGTGATTACTAAGTTAATATTGCTTCAAGGTGCAGACTTGAAAAAAATATTTGATATTCTGTCAGTATAGCTCAATACTGACCAGGATAAGATCAAACAAATCAGAAGAATAGAAATGGCCGTAAAATCTCCTGTCAGGACCAAACATTTGGGATATTCTGGCTTTTCATAAGCAGGCCCTGCAGAAATGGAAACAGCCTTACCCCATTTAGTGTGAATCAGCTAAAGCACATTTTAAAAGAACTTTAATGACACAGCATATCTATTGCAGGCCCCCTACCTGTTTGAGCACCAGGATGCAGTCCTTATTCTGATCAGGTTTAGCGTTGAATGTTTTCCCACCGTCACTTAAGATGGAGAATAGGGGTTGCTTGTTCTCAGGCTCATCTCTATCCATGACTGTCAGTTTGCCGATCTCCTCGTCAAGTTTATGGTTTTCTTTCACACTGATCTCATATTTCCCTAGGGAAAGAAAAGAAAAGGCCAAAATAATACAGAATGTTGGTAAATATGGTACACTTTCACCAATTTTTTAAAACGATCTCCCGAGTGTCAGCTTACTATTGCTGAAAGATGCCATGTTGTCATTGATGTCTGTGATGGTGATGGGGACCGTGGTGGTGTTGAGGCAGCCAGAGGGCCTTCCATTCATGTCCCTCGCTTCCACCCTCAGCACATACTGACTCTTTTTCTCCCGGTCCAGGCTAGTTGTCTTGGAGGTGATCATACCTGTCGAGCGACAGAGGAGGTGTTATTGTGTTATCTTTAATGTCACCTCTGTGTCAGGTTTAGATAAAAATAGCTTTCCACCAAAAAATAAAGCAATAAGTTGCAGAGAGAAAAAGTTCCGATGGCAATTGCTGCAGCAGGCTGCTTACCTGAAATTGGGTGGATTTCAAAGAGATCCCAAGTCTCTGCATCTCTGGTTAGAGAGTACTGAAGCATTGCATTGACAGTGGTCGGATCATCTTTATCAGTCGCCGTCACCTCAAACACAGTCCCCTCTAGGTGATGGGAAAACAGTGATATCAGTCAGCATCACTCTGAGCTTTTTCACATTGATTTACAGAAATCAAAATGTTCCTCTTCTTATACACCTTAAAACTGTTTCCAATACATATATTGTGCTTATCTAATTGGAAAAAAATTTATAATACCTGTAAAACAATCGATAACTTCTCAAATGCGTTCTTATATAAAACTGCAAAGTTTAAAGCGTAGAGATCGGGTGATGTTCAGACATTTATAGAGGTAGATACAATTGATATCATGAAAAGCTTACAGTATATCATCAGAAGGCTAAATACTGTTCATGTGTGGGTAAATTCATTCTAGTTTCATTTCAGCTGTTCTGTTAAGGCCTCAGATATTTTTTGTAGAACCGGAGTAGGGCTGGGCAATTAATTGCAATTGCAATATAACTGCAATTCAAGAAAACCCAATTTTCAAATTGCAGATGTATTCAATTTAAGTAACATTACATTTCAAAAGAAGACACTGCAGTTCTCACTCCACACCAAAAAAAGATCTAGAAACAAGAAAAAAAGGCTTAAATTAGGTGTATTTACCCTTAATTTGAGTAGGTAATTGAGATATTTTGCCAATGGAATAAATATTTTTACTCTTAAAATAAGATAATTAGATAATATGCACTTGTTCCATTGGCAAAATGTCTCTTTTACCTCCTCAATCCAAGAAAAAATTCACTTATTTTAAGAAAAAAATCACTTATTTAGATTTTGACTTTCTCCAGTGTAACCCTTTAAGCTGGAGTGAGAAGTCAGTGATTACAAGGGATTTACTTAGAGGAGCTCCAGTTTCATAAATACAGGTTTATAATATTATTTTATTTTGTATTTATTTCGATTCCGTACAAACTTCCAGGTATCATATTTATGTTATTGTTTTTTTTTTTAATTTGAGATGGAAAGTATAAGATGCCTAAGAACTAAATGCTTAAATTAAAGGTGAAATTAATTAAAATAGCTTCTATTTGTTAATCACTTATTATACATTCCACTTTTGGACAATCATCAATACTGTTTGACTGAGAGGGGTACTGATAGTATGAAAAAATACCCGAAAGGTTACACAAGTCAAAAAACATTGGGAAACACTGCCATAGAGCATCGTTCAGTGCATCGCCTCAAAAAACTGCATCGCCACAAAGAGATGTCTAAACCCGACAGGAAGGTCAAAAAACATTAGTAAAAATGCTAAGAGGCTCATCTATTGTTCTGAACACACCACCACCAACAGGAAATAGAAGTGGCGGCATGATGCTGTGGGAATGCTCTCATTTAGCATTTCCAGGGTTATAAATAAAGGGATGATGGGGGGCAGAATGTCCTGCAACACTGAAAAAAATACAATCTGTTTTCTTTTGGGCTGAAATAAACTTCTGAATGGGTGTAGATAGATTTATCCTCCTGGACATGCATCCATCGCATAGAGGGAGCCATAAATTTCAGTTTAAATAAAGGGAAATTCAGCATCTTCAAAGTTTAAAATATATATTTTTAAAGACACTCTGAAAAAGCCTGAGTCATTCTAGGGAGCTGAAAAAAAGACTGGTATACAAAATGGATTTAGACCTGTAAAAAGAAAACCATACAATGAGGTCATGTGCAACAGCAAACACACACTCTGAAAGTTGTTATGTATGAATAAAAATTTAGAAAACCTTCAAGGGTTCTGAACTCCTCCTTATGGCTTTGAAAATTGCTGCACATTCAGTAAAGTACATATCTCCATTCTTCTTGGAAATATCTCTTTATCTTTTTTTTTTTTTTTTGCTACATACAGGAGAAGAAAAATTCCCTTTCATGTTTGGGGGATAAAGAGGTTTCTAAACAGCATTTTTCTTTTTGCCAAGGTTCAGCAAAATCTAGTTAAAATTGCAATTTGCAACTCAAAACACACTTCAATCAGGTTGACTAGCCTACACTGGAAAAATGATCTAGAAGTAAGTAAACATTTCTTAAATTAAGCGTATTTACCCTTAATTTGAGTAGGTAAACGAGATAGTTTGCCAATGGAATGAGTATTTTTACTCTTAAAGTAAGACAATTAGATAAAATGCCCTTGAAATAAGACAATGGAACTGTGTTTTCTTATTTTAACTGTAAATTGTCTTGTTCCATTGGCAAAATGTCTCTTTTACCTCCTCAATCCAAGAACAAATGCACTTATTTTAAGAAAAAATAACGTATCTAGATTTCGATTTTTTTCGAGTGTACCATCTGAATCAGCCCTGGCAAATATGTCTTGCATGCTTGATCATTTATAAATTGTGTCTCAATCCAACATACTCTTTCGCTCCACAACAGATCCTTTGTATTCCTTTGAAAAAACGGGGCAGTTGTCGTTGATATCCGTCACTTGGACAATAAAGTCCCCGGCGCTCTCTACCAACACCTCGTTTCCATCGTACATCTTAGCCGTCAAATGATACTGAGCTTTCTCCTCTCTGTCTAGAAGAGTGTTGACATAGAGTTCGCCTCCTTTCTTGTTGACCGTGAAGATGGTGTTTGCTCCTTCGCCTTCTATTGTAAACGACTTCACCGCCACTTGCTTGCTGGACTTAAGCTGTAAATGAACAGGAAAATCATGATATTAATCAAGAAAATTCTGCAAGTGAAGAGTATTCAAAATTTTCATTTAAAAAATAGAAGACAGGTTTTACAAGAAATGTAAGTGAAAGAAACTATTAATTTACATTGAAAATATAGTCCCCAAACCCCAGAAATCCTTTATTAAAAGTGTTAACCATACCTGTCCTATCTGAAAGGGGAATTGTACAGGGTTCTCTTCTATCACATAAAGGGAGTTCCACAACCATTCTCTCTTCTGTCTGCGCAGCAGCGGATAGGATTCTTTCTTCACAATTATGTCTGATTGTGGTCTTTCTGGTACCACCCCAGAAAGGCCAGAGTCTTGAGCAAAGGCGACAAAGTTGAGAAGAGGGACGATGAGTCCAGTTGTCCATACCTGGAGCCACGCCATCACCTAAGACACATGGATCAGGAGAAAGGAGGGAGATGAGAGGAAGAGGTGATGAAAGGGATCAGAGAAGGCAGAGCAGTGATGAGGAATGGAGAGGGGAAAATTGAAGAGAGAAGAAGAGTGGAGATCACATTAAAACCACTTATCAGCTGTGGACAGACCCCCTTTACTGTGCCTGGGTGAGAATTAGAGACAAGCCCGAGGACTTGCTGTCCCATCACAGTCTAAGGCTGAGCCCGAGGTCTAGCTATCATTTAGGTCCAGGGCTCTTAAATCCATGCAGCTTGGGACCCAAATGAAACATTTAGTCTCTCACCAAGGGACCTGTACTGAAAGCATTTCACCAGAGTGGTCATTTGGGGATCTATTAAACATAGGCCTGTGACCCATTTTAGGCCCTGACCCATTGGTTGTAGTGACAGAGAGAGAGACTGGCAGAGGAGAGGATGACATTTAAAACCACTTTGGATGTCTGTATTAATCAGCCATTGACATTTTAAATTTGTGACCACTGTTGAAGTTTTTTATCCTTTAAAAACACCAAACAATTTAAGAATAAACAACAACAGTTGGGCTTAAATAATGAATGATTTAATAAGATGGATTAATTTGGTACAATTAATTTCTTACATTTCTTATAATAGAACTCTACACATACAGTAATCTCAGGCACACGCATTAGAAGGTGAATTCAAGCTGTCTTGTACACAGCCGATTTTTTTTTATTGCAACAGCTTCACAAAAAAAAGACAATATAAAAAACCATACATTAGGATGTAGATTAGAATATGTGGGGAAATACGGACTCTGCTATATCATATGCTTTACATTATTTTGACATATTCTCCTTTAATTTATTCTAAAGGCAAGGTTTTATTTTGCTTAAGGGGAGCCCCATGATCAAATTACATGTAACACAAACCCTGATATAAGACCTTTGAGATTGTATTAGGTTAAATGGACAACAAACATATTTGTGAACCCTCTCCTGCTGGAGGGTCCACAAATATGTTTTTCCCCCCACAAAACTGTCCACTTACTATTTTTTTTTGTCTATGCGGTGCTCTGTGGATCTTAAATACGCATCAAGGGTAAATCTTAAGTGTGATATAAAGAGATGTTTCTCAAGCATTAGGTTCTGTCACCTAAATAGTTGACATTTTTATGGTTGTTTTTTAAATATTGCATGTTTATTAAAGTTATAATCTTCCACTTTTCCAGAAATATAGGTAAGACATGCACAAGCCACTTTTTAATAACTGCTTGTGTGCAAGTCCATCCTACAGTACCAGTACACTACCAGCTCTTCTGCTGCTCAGGCGGAACTCCTATCAAATGTTCTTCTCATAAATTTGAAAGACATTTTGCTTTTTTTTAACTCCCAGCCTTGTTTAAAGTATAGAGTAAGATAAATTGAGACATAATGAATGGCTGAAACTAAAGCTTACTCGATAAAAAGGCAGTAGGGTTCAATCCGAATACCTCCAAATGGTAAGAACACTTACGCCATGGCGAAAGTGCATCCACTGGCCTGTCAGAAAACTGCTGGCAATTAGCGAGGAGCTTGGATCTGGTAGCAGTATGGTTTCTAGTGCCAATGCAGTTAGCATAATGACCTCCTGATGTTGCTAGACACTATACAGTTGCCAACAATCCTTTGTGTGACACAACATAAAGGCACAGTCCAGCAGAGTTTAACAAAAATACATTATTTTGTGGCATGTACTCTGAGTCACACATGCAAATGCCCTCACCTTCACATGCTTTGGCTTTCAAGAAAGTGAGCTTCAGTCTTAAGCTATATTTGAATAACTTCTGTTTTTTGCTGTTCTTTTTTGAAAGGCTGTAATCCCTATTAATGTCTATAAGGCTTAAGGCCATTTGAGTGCAGAACAGCAGTCTGGAACTCCTTTCTCACCCAGGATAGTGTTCTTATGGTTGCAAAAGGTGAAGGGATAGGAGCTAGGAGCTACAATTAGAGGTATTCAAAACCAGTCTAGAACTGTACATGCACTGCAAGAGGAAACTAGCAATGGCGTTAGAAGCAATGGCATAACCAAACAATTCCCTCTACACACCGGCTCCTATACCTGTAAGATCAAGGCTGTGGTATTCCCTGTGATTAACTGTGTGAGGACATATTAACAATAATTGCCTTAAAATAGTCATGTCCTTATATATATATATATATATATATATATATATATATATATACATTCTTCATTCTTCATTCCATGACCTTCCATGACCTCCCAAGACTTTAACTGAAATGCTCTTAGTGCTTAAAAGGATCAGATAATTATCAAAATTATTCAGGGCGATAGACAGAGAATAAAGGTTAGACTAACTAATGTTTTTGGACAATTATACATATCTATAGAGACATCAGAGGTCAGTTTCACAAAGCAGGTTTAAAAAAACTCAGATTCAAATCCACAACTCTAAATTGATCTAGTCAAAGGTCGCGAACTCTGAATTTTCGGTTTCACAACGGCTGCTATGAAGTAGGTCAATCAACTCCAAGTAGACACTCAGAGTTTAATGCATGTGCAACAAGTATGAAAAGCCATTATTGTTGGAGCACTGATTGGATAAGTCACCATGAAAACAGGCACCAGGAAGTGTCTATTTCACCCCACTGGAACAAGAGATTCAGAAACAGCGATACAGCTACACAGGCGAGAAGATTGTTGCCCGAGTTAATGAGAAGTTTATATGAAGTGCACTATGGCAGGCCGTTTTTACATTTATTAAAAACACTCTCTTCTCTGTTGTGCCATTTGTAGATCATTAAAATAAGATTCTTCCAGATAAAAATCACATTCCTAGACCTAACTGTAATAATATATTTTCTATATTAACATTATTGATGTTTTAAAATAATACTAGTCAGAATTAAGTTTTATGTATGTGGAAATGTTTACACATCTTAAGTGGCTGTTCTGATATTTATCAGCTTGACTGAATATGTATTTGTGATATCTGAAAAACATCTTCTCTAACCCCAGATTACAGATAAAATGAGATTTTTTCCTTTTAAAATAGAGGTTTTTTTTTCTTACCTCTTCCTACAGTACGTGAATCTTGCAAAGTCAATGGCTCGATGCAATCTGCTAGGTTTTCTTAGTAAGAAAACTTTTAACCAATCTGTCTGTATGATTTGATTAAATTGCTTCTGGAAAAAGCCTTGAGATGAAGTGTGTTGTAAATTGCAAATAGAAAAACAGGAAATAGATAAACTGAACTTGAAAATGATGGTGTCCAGAGGTGAGTAGAGTACCCACAAATTGTACACCACTAAGAGTAGCACTGCTTAAACCTAATTTTACTCAAGTAAAAATTACAAAGTTGTCATTAATTTTTAATGAATATAAAAGAAGAAATTCATTCAGGAGAGATAATTTTACCAATTTCTTTTTCCAACATATAACATAAAACCAATCCGTACAATGACAACTCTATATATATTAGGATAAGGCAACACATTTCCACTGTTAATATCTACTGTTTACTGCAGGTTTACCTGATTTTTGAATAGTTCAAATTACTCAAATAGGACAGGGTAGTCGGAGATTTTAATCAACTAAGAGTAGCAATAATTTAGAAGAAAGTTACTCAAGTAAAAGTAAGAAGTACAGCAGAGTAAACCTTCTCTTAAAAGGACAATTTTTTCGACGTTTTGTTTCCCATCCAGGAAGCTTTTTTTTAATTCAAAATGTCTGGATTAATGCTGAGTTCCAAGCTTTATAGAGTACCCAACAAAGCCTTGTTATGCCTTAGAAGACATATAAATTGAAAAAGCTTCCTGGATGGGAAGCCAAACGTCTTCAACTTGGAAAACGAAGTCCAGTGGATTGTTTTTTAACCTTTTTTAAACTTTGTTGGAATTACTATGACCTGGATGACTGAGAATCTTCACCAGCATCCTCAAGTAGATGTAACTAAGTAAATGTGATTAATTACTACCCATCTCTGATGTTGTCAGATAAATATGAAGGAATCCCACTGTGTCTCTAAATGTCACTAAACCAAGATTGGATTTGATCACTTGGAAGCACAAAGTTTAACATCATTCTTGAATATGTCCATAGATGCTAAAGGACGAATAGGAAACTGCTTTCCATTAAACCAAAGAAACCTCCATAAACCTCTTGGCATCATCAAATATCAACATTTTCTTGTATTATAATACTTACACCTCGTAGAATGTCAAAATTCAGACTACCTGCTTTGACTGGACTGCTTTATACCACTTAATACCATTAAAACAAATTGAAGCTAGGGATGTTTAAAATGCTATTTATCTGAATTAGCTGAGCCTTTTTTTGAGTTCTTGGCTTTTTGGCTGGTTAGAAGTGTTTTGCATCACTTTTCCTTCCTGTCTTTAAACCATTTAGTTTAATTAAATCCAAATAAATCAATAGAAATACCAGCACTCATGAGTATAACAGCTTTTTTGCCATTTGCTTTCTTACCATTTGGCCCCTGTGAGTTTGCGTCAGTCTTCCTCATCATTCTTGCGCACCCCTAACCCCCCCCCACACCCCTTTACTGGGCTCTATCTAATAAAGCAGAAATACCAGGGAAATTATCTTCAAAACACTTTAGCCTATCTGCTCTGTACTCCGGTTGGTACCTCAGCGCAGCCTAGTGCCATCCCACTGGACAGATTAGAGCATCTTATTGTCTTGCAGCCATTAGCAGGAGGGAGAGAGAAAGAGAGATTATGGTGAGGGGATTATACCGGCGCAGTTCTTCTCCCTCTAATGGTCTAATCTCGTATTCTGCTGACCTCCCGTGACCTCTTTTACACAGCTCTCCAGAATTAAGCACTCACAAAAGACTTTACCAGTGTGTTTTGGGCCTTTGTTTGACTTCTTTTTGTTAACATATTGTGTTGTTTCTTTGTTTGGTTTCCTTTGCTTTATGGAATATTAGAGTAGACCTTAGAATAAATGCTCTTAAATAGGTTGACTGTGAAATCCATGGTTGTTGTTTTTTTT